GTATGCATTGCTACTAATTTGTTGCACGGAATCGCTCAATTGTATCTTTGTTGCAGATACTGTTGAAGATGGAGATTCATGCATGGCCTCTGGAGGCTTGCTGAAATCAAACTATACCTGTCAAATAAACTGATGCACTTGGCTATTTTGATTTGTGTGCATATATTAAGTCTTGTTTGAATGGATTTGCATGGGGGATGCATCCATCTTTTGATGCACCACATCAGGTGAGACAATATAAAGGGACGCGTGAACCCCACCCTATAACATCACTCTCATCAGGGGTCTCTGGTGGCCACAGATTCAGAGAAACTAAGAACAATTGGTTTAATAGACGAGTGTTTGGTTTGTGTATGGTTGCAAACCGGCCAATTGTAGTGTTTAATGGCATATGTTTAGGATGTATGCGGTTTGAGAGGTAACAGTGAGCCTGTACTGTCCCGTATGGTGACCGATGGGGGGCTTTCAGGCCTGTTTGGAAAGCGTGCTGTTATTTATTGTCTTGTGTGTCTTTGTAGACCTTTAGAAATGTGTTCATTGGTTAATATATTGGATAATGGATTTCTCCAACCAAATCTAAATGATTGTCTTTGCAGCATTTGCAGGTCAATGGTTCTTTGGGTTTTTTAAGACTACTCTTGCACCTGATGACTGTTTACGCATTAATTGTGTGGAAAATGTCAAAATAAGCAAGTGTTTCACATGTAACCTTTAAACACAATGCTCATCTCGGGCTTTTGGGTCATTATATATAATGTAAACTCTCCAGATGGGCTTTTTCTCTTCTCGCTGTCTTGCCTTTTAAAATCCTGACACCCTTTTTGTCACCTAGAATTAATAGAAGGAAAAGCAGCTGACAATGGTGGCCATTGTGCGCCAGTGTTTTCAGATTCAAAGCTCCAGGCACCAGTGGTTTAATCAGTGGCTGTCCTGCATAAGCGCCGGGCTGGTTTTGTAAAAGGCAGGAACACAATGGAGCAAGTCTCAGGGGCATCAGAACTGCCCTCAGCAGTTGGATAAAACTGACCGCAAGCAGGAAAAAAAGCACCCTTCATTGATGCCCTTCTCCTTAGTGTCACTAATTCACTAGACATCCTGTTTTTGATGGTGGTTTTGTTTATTAAAGCACTCGTTCAGTGTTGCATTTTGGCAGAGCCTTGAAAAGGGTCTAGTTTTTGGCTTTTAAATATTAACACCGCAGATTGGATGATTTCTGTATTGATGATGTCTCTGGAATTTGATCCTGGATCTCAGTTAATCAATATTTGTGCTTTCATTTCTTGCTTCTACTCATCAGCAAATGTTAAATAACAAGCCATTACTTCAGCAGTCACATATTATATGCTTTAACTGATTTGAAGCTGCTTTAATTGGAAAAAAAACATCCCAAATGTGGTTATAAAGTCACAAATGGATGATGCTGAATGTAAAAATAATTGGAGCTTGTCCACTTGTGTCCACTTCTAAAGCAATACATGACCAGTCTCCATCTACTGACCTAAAAACATTACATTTTAATGTAATAATTTTACCTTTCGCTGCCTGAATATTTTACATGAAGATGTCTAAAGAGCAGGACACACCAATGTATAGTCAGCGTTGGTCCGGCTAGTTGTTTTGGTGTGTACCAAAGTAGGGCTGCAAATAACGATTATTTTAATAATCGATTAATCTGTCAACTATTTCTTCGATTAATCGATGAATCGGATAGAAAAACAAACAAACAATAAAATCATTAATTTCCAACCCTTTATTCAAAAAAGCTCATCCCTGAGCTGTTATATTAATACTAATAAAATAAATAAAATAAAGAAAACAATTAAGAAATTTTGTGCTGTTTTCCATCCAAATATCTAAAAAAATATATATATATTAAATCAAGATGTACACTAGACAGAGGAAGTAGCATAAGGAATTATGTGTTGTTTTCTGAAAAAAAAACACATCAAAATAAGTGATTGTTTGCTTAAAACAAGCAAAATTATTTGCCAATGGGGTAAGAAAAACAATCTTAAGATATAAACAAAAAATTTAAAAAATTAAGCGTCACTTAATTTTCTTATGCCATTTTTCTTGTCGGTTCTTGATTTAGGATTTTTTAGGTATTTGGACGTGAAACGAAACGCAGCTATACATGACAACAGATGAAAAAATGAATGATGCAAAAAAGGCGAGTGAATAAAAACTTTAGTTGTCTTTAGTCTTGCAAAGTGCAACGTTACTATACCACCGCTGATTTACTACTGTAGTTAACCCTTTCACTGGTGAGTTTAAAAGATTCTGGAACCAGGGGCCTCATGTATCAATGCTGCGTGCGCACAAAGACTTTGCGTGCCGCAGATTTCACGCTCAGGTTTGGATTTACTTACGACGAAATGAACGTGAGAATGTGCGTTGGTCCGCGTCAACTTCATGTCTGGCATACTTGCATTTCTTGTGTGTCTTAATTTCATTGGCGACTCCTACAGGCAATCATGTTAAATTGCACACTACAAAGTATCTTTGAGCCGTGCAAGGGCAGCTGTATGGGACGGAATCATCTGCATGTCTAGCAGGTATATACGGTTTCCATACCATGCAGTTGACCAGCCAAACATTAAAGCGCAATTGGCAGCGATGGCGGGTTTTCCCAATGTAATCGGAGCGATCGACTGCACGCACATTGCAATAAAGGCACCATCTAAAGATGAAGTTGCATACGTGAATGAGAAACATTTCCATTCAATAAATGTGCAAATAAAATGAGATGCTGAAATGCGCTTAACATAATACACACACTTATTAAGGCTTCCTGCTTGTCTTCCTTGTGATGAAGAGTAGGCAAAAACTGGTATGTAGGGAGGGGCTTTGCACTCGTGCATGTTGCGCTCAGTTTCACGTTAATTTGGATGTACATAGAGAACATGAGTTTGATTCGGCGTTCGCAGTGTTTCATACATCTGAATTTTTTACTGCGTACACACAAAGCTGTAAATTAAGTATGAATTCAATGCAAGTCTTCGTACATGAGGCCCCTGTAGTCTGTTTTTTTTAGCTGACCATTATTTTAGGACATTCACCTTTAATGTTTCTGTGGCGACGCGTCATGTTTGTCACGTGACACACCGCAGCCACAATAGACAGATAACATAAGTGATCGTGATCTATAACGTGAGATGGGCATCGCCATGTTTACTTGCCTCAATAAAAGTAGAACGCTGCGCCGGACCATACACATATGCATGCGCTTGACACAGAAGTATAAATCAGCCTTTATACAGCAACGAAATTGTGGGTGAGAACAAAATTTAAAGGAAAAAACCTAAGTTAACAATTGAATTGAGGAAGGAACAAAGAAATGCAAATTTCACTACAAATGTTTGCCAACAATATTGATTCTTTGATAATCAGACATATTTGCACAAGCTAATCTCTCTGTGGTGAGTGACAATTACTGTGATAATGGTACTAAACACTGCTTTGTTTACGTTTTGTCTCCACGTTTCATCTTCCGTTTCCCATTATGGAAAACAGATTAATGCCCCATGCATGTGCAGAAAGACGTCCTTTCACGCAGGAGCAGAACGTACGCTCTCATTTCAGTCGATTGCTGTCTGTTTGGTGTGTTTACATGCAGTTTTTTGATCTAGAGGCAAGCTAACAACGCAGTTGGTTTTCGTTTGTGCCGTCGACTTCGTCTCATCTATTCACACAGAACGCATCCTTGCATATAAAACAAAAGGGGCACCACTCAGAAAAAGTTTTTCAACAATGTTTCTCCTCCGCTATGTTACTATCAAATAAAACAGGACTGTGTCCGAAATTGCCTACTACTCTAAAATGTATTATTCAGCCAGTAGAAAAGTGCGTTCGATACAGTATGAATGTGAGCAGTATGATTGAATCTCGAACGTACTTCATCAGCAACTGTCATGATCACGTGACCTACCCGTATCAGTTGAGCACTTCACTCCCATTCACGATGAGCACTTAAGAATCTCGCTGGTCATCCGGGTACCTCTCACATACTGTTTTTCAAATTCCATGAATTCGGACAAACTACTTGGCTTGCATACTGATTTTGGCGTACTTAATATGCAGCCCAGTTGTCTTGCCAACTTGCTATTTTAAACAGAAGCTTGCAATGCTTCCCCCACCTGAGTTCTTCTGATTGGTCCATTGCTTTAAAACTGACATCGATGAGCAGCACTGCATGTAAATGTATGTTGACATTCTAGTAAATTGGCGCAACACAGTGCCAACTTCTTGTAACACGGCATATACAAACTGTAGTGTTCATGCAAGGCATTTTAAAAGACATAAGATGCAAGTATAGTTCTCCTGCATGTCCGTCGAGTGTGTTTAAAAAGAAAAACAATGGAAAAGTAAGGGAATGGAATAGAAAAGGGCGTTCTGTGTGAATGTCTTATAAGATGTTAAAAGCTTGAAAAAGGTAAAAAGATGTGAAATGTTCTCTTACCTGTGCTAAATATCAATGTAGCCATCAGTGGATTGAATAGTTTAATAGTAATATCAGTGTTTTGAATATGTTTCAAGAGTTCACACTTTGCTGATGATTGATTATGAAGCTTGTTTGGCATGCTGTCCTGGGAGAGAGCCTTGAGCTCATAAGATCCTTGAGCCCGGGGCTTCCTCCCATTTGCAAGGTGAGAGGGGAGTTTGAGCTTAGGTAGATCTCGAGAACTCCCCTGCTGTGTTAGCTAATAAACAGATAGTGATTGCTCTTAAGAGATGACTACTTTCTAGGAGCATGTCTATGGTGCCGATTTGGATTAGTCAATTAACTTAAGTTGCATGTTTTTGGATGGAGGGAGGAAACCGGGGAACCCGGAGGAAACTGGCGTGAGCACGGGGAGAACGTGTAAACTCCGCACAGCAACATCGGCTGGCTTGGTAAGGACTAGAACCAATGACGTTCTTGCTGTGAGGCAACAGGGCTAACCACTGGGCCACTGTGCCACCCACCTAGGAAAGAAGGAGGAGTAGGGGTGGAAGGTGGA